GGTACGAAATTAAAAATACACACGTCTACATTACTAGAACATACAGATAATAGAACAAGAGACAGCCAGTTGGGGGAAAACCCTCCAGTCCTAATCAGGGCACAGCGGGGCAAGCCACAACAGCCCGGGGTAGTTGTCGTATTGAAGTCGGGGGTTCTTTGGCCAAATAACCAACACACTACGGAGTAAGTGGGTTGGAAATGTGGCCAGTTGTTGATCGAAGCGACTTCCAAAGATAGTTGAAGGGGCCAGAATGGAGCAGAGGGCTGCATCTACTCCGTACATTATCTACTTATTGATTTATTTCTCTTTCCAAGGGCTCCAGGGAGCCAGCCCGGCAAGCTAACCCAAATCACTAATTACAGAGCAACCTGTGCATAAATTTCAAATATAAAAAAAAGGAGAGGAAGAAGAAGAAGCAGAAGCAGTGCTCCTCCATGGTAGTTTTCTTTCTTCGTTCTGAGACCGCCGCCATCGCCAAGACTCCAACAGCATTAGCAAACACAACATCCGCGCCTCCTTGCTCCATGCTCGCATACGCAGGATGTCCACTTTTGCCCCTCTTCGCCCCTCAGGAGATGGCCCATCGATCGATGGCCCAGTGTCGGTATGGTCTGCCTCCGGGTTATCGTTCCCCCCAATCCAACCTCCTCGGTCCGAAACTATAACCTCAATGGTAATCCGCTGTCCTATTTAGTTGGTTGATTTTTATTTACATTCTTCATTTTTTTTGGCACTGCATGACTAGTTTATAAATTGAACTAACTAGTCAAAACCATCCTCAACATCCTTTTTTTATGGTGATTACCCTCATCGGCGAGAATAAATACAAACGGGTTTTTTTTTTTCTGTTTCCCTTTCAGTCTCACATTCTCTCTCTCTCTCTCTCTCTCTTTCTTTCTTTCTTCCTGGTACTTCTCTCTTTCAATCTATGGATGGTTAGTTAGTTGACTAGCTATTGCCATTTCTTAACTAACTACACTGGTTCATCGAATGCTGGCACCCCTCTCTTCCCCCGGCTGTTGACATGAATAAATCAAACATCGAAAACCAAGGGGGAAAGAAAAGGGAAAGGAAGAAAAAGAAAATAC